TCCTGTGCATGTACATTGTAATTACTCCTTTATAGGAACTTTCATAATCAATAGAAATATTTTAGAAAAAGATGAGAGACAAAATGAATTAAGATTTTATATTTAAAACTAAATTTAACCATCCATTATTATATTAAAAATGGAATAGCATAAAATGGCAGTATATGTGTTTTTCAATATCCCTCCGTGAGCAAGCAAGTAGGTGCTGTCGTGCTGAAAAAGGCTAAAAGTATAAAAATATAAATAATAAGCAAACTTTTCAAGAGCTGAAATCAATCAAAGAGTGCCAGAGAAAATTGAGAAATATATCTACACATATCAATATATCATAAAAATAATGCTAATAAGATTTTTTTGAGCTGAATAAGATTTATGCTTTAAATTAATTAGTGTATAATACATTAAGTGTATTTAATTGTTGTCACTGACTCATTGTCGTCAGGGGAGGGAGGGAGAATTCTATTTGTTGGAGCTATGCTGTGGCTTCGAAGTTTTTTGTTATATCTTTCTGATCCAATTTTTTTTTCATACAATCATAATTAATTTTTTTTAAAATTAATATTTTCATTGCCATAATTTTAACCCAAGTGTATCTTGGTCTCAAATCTTGACTTAATACAATTCAGTGCCATAATTTTAACTCAATTATTACTCCATTTCTAAACTTAAGCTTACTGTAACTCAGTTGCTATAATTTTAACTATTTAAAATTTTAATTATGTGAGTTTCATGAAATATATGATGCTATCTTCTACAACACAAAAAATTATATTTTAAATTGTTAAACTCTAGACATTAAGTTACAGCGAGTCAAAATTCATGACTAAATTACAATCGAGTTAAAACTATAAAAATTATCTTACTATCAACTGAGAGTATAGAAATTCAATCACAAGCATATCAAAACTATAATAATAGAAAAAATAATTTTTTTCCCCTTAAAACTTACTTTCTCCCCAATTTTATGTAATACTTCCTATTATCTTTTCTATATCTTTCCAATTTTTTAGGATGTGCCTTTGACTACTTCCACTAATCTTAATTAGGGTACATGCTCTAAGATCTAAGGTCTTCAATGCAAGTCATTTTAATATCTAAAACATTTATGGGATGTTTTTTTGGGGACATGTGCCTTTATTATTATTGAAAGTTTAGACTTTTGACTTCATGGGGTGACCCCAATACAGCGTATCTAATAATCTTGATTAAGAATAATTTTGAGAAGTTGTGATTTGTTAAAAGTGTATTTATTTACTAACAAAAGAGAGAGGAAGGATAATGGCAAGCGGATAGGTTTTACTATTTGGAGTTAATTTCGTGACGAGTTGGGATACATACAGATGAGAGTTGTGAAGATCCCTCGGGATTGATGCGTGAGAGCGCGTGCAGCCACACAACCTCCTTTGTGATTGTGACCATCTCACTGTTTAGCCAATCTCTGTAAATAAGATATGAGCAAAATCAGTGCATGGTCCCGGAATATAATTTATTAAAAAAATATTATAATAAAAAAATTGTTATATTTAGCAATCTTAGTTGGTCTGGTCCAAAAAAATAATTGTAGACAAAGCGTTTTGTTTCCAGCTTTATACAAAATAAGCACATAGAATCCTCTCCTATTAAAAAAAAAAACACTTCAAAATACTGAATGTTATTTTTTTTAAGAAAAAAAAGGAGCTAATATAATCTTTGATCCTTCAAGTTTGTCTTTATTTTGGTTTTGATTCCTTAAATTTCAAACTATAGATTTTGATTCTTCCAAGGGCAAAATAATCCAAGTTTTTATTGAATTATGGGAACTAATATTTTAAATGAAAAGAAACTTAAAGGACTAAAACCTATAATTTAAAACTTTAAAGATCAAAATCAAAATAAGGACAGATTAAATGATCAAAGTTTGTATTAAAAAAAGAAAAAGAGTATTCAACACTCATCATTTCACACCCAAAACACTGTAGTTTTTGAGTAAAGGAGGACACGGGTGGGAGCCACAAGAGGGAGGAGCCAAAATATTATGAGAGCTCTTTAGGATAATTGGTTTACTTCTAAATTTGGGCGTATGATTTTATCGAGTGACATGTGATAAATGCATACAAAACATCAACAAACAAAAAAAGCACTTATTTGTTGGCGTGATTAGTGGTGGAAGCTTCGCTCCATGATTTAATTTAAGAATACAAATGTTATGTTTTGATTAGATTTGAATTTGGACCAAATTCATTATTTGCATACATAAGATTTTATGAACTTGAAAATTATTCAAATTGAAGCAAATTTTTAATGTGTGTGTGTGCATAGAGAGCATGGAATATACTATTCTATATTCAAATAGTATATCTGTTTTGATTTTCTTATTCGAACCCTACAGAATGTGAAGCTATTTGACTAATTTAAATATTGGAAAATCACTTTGTTGTTGTCATTCTGATTTCATTTATCAATCTGAAATTAAAATAAATGATTGACGATTAAAACAACCTTCCACGGATTTCTTTTGATTTGATCAATTTTATATATTTCGTCAATGATGATTTTCCCTTGCAACTGGGTGCATTTTTAGGACGAATTGCGCAGATCATACGCCTTGTTTATTTGGGCCTCATTTATTGGGCCTAGGCCTTGTTTGTTCTTTTATATTTGGCAATTCGATGTCAACGAGTGTTGCTTTAAAAAAAAAGGGTATGAAATTTGTCACTAATAGACATAACTTATGATTTTTTTTAAAATGTAAATGCTAGTTAACATTTAAATTTATATTTATAATATTGATATGCTCCCAATTTTGAAAATTAATCTGAAGTTAATTAGATATCTAAAATAAATCCATAATCATGATCTTATAATAATTGGTTATGAATTATCAAATTAAAAGATGCAAATATATCTCTTTTCGTTTATGCTTAACTGTAAAAAATCGTTCCATGTGTTTGAATAGCAGAATTCACTGATGCAAATTCTCGCATCGGAATTCTGGTTCCAAAAAATCCCACATCGGAACAATTCATATCTTGGGTGACGAAATCGAAGCGGCAATGGTAAACCCTCAGACAGAGAAATTGTAGCAGTCGCAACAACACCCCAAAGGACTTTGCTATTATAATACTCCTCCGGTCCTTATTATAAACCCAATTGACTTTTTATTTGGTCCTAATTAAAGATCCAATTCATTTTGTCTCTTATATTTATGCATTTTTTTCCAAAATAATCCTTCTAATAATGATAGTTTTAGCCAATATACTTAATTAGCAAGGATATTTTAGGAATAACAACACTTATTTATTATAAATAACCAACTTAACTTGCTTCCTTAATCTCCTCAAATAAGTCAATTGGGTCTTATAATTAGGACCGGAGGAGTATCAATTATCAATCATCAATTATGATCTTAAAAACTTATAATACCCAATATTTTTAAAACAAGTCAGGTATGATATTATAAGATCTGAATATATTCAATTAATAATAAAATCTGAATAATGTTTTGATTGGGATTTATGTATATTGAATTAAATGAGGAACATCATTATTAAATGAGATTTTAATGGAAGCTCAAACAAAAAAATTAATAATTAATTTTGAATTTTAATAATATCTTAATTGGGATTTGAATATATTGAATTAAATGAGAAACATCATAAAATAATATATCAATCGGGGTTTAAATGGAGAGATAAACAAATAATTTTAAATTTTCATATATTTCCCCTAAATTCCACATCTTTAATTCAAATACAATTTGAATGAATTAAAAAACACACCTCTATAAAAAAAAAAATCCTGAGCTATCTTAAATAATACAATTTGTTAGAATTTAAAATTTAGTCAAATATTTTAATCCATGCATCATACGAGAAAAAAATTTCTAGTTCTTATTTGAAATAGAAGTTAGATTTTTATTAGTAGAATTTAATATCTTCAAACCCTGTCATCCTACCTTCATAGCCAAAGTAATTCTTTTTCAGATACCAAAGAATTTCTAGAAATCATATTTAACTCTTGTTAACTAAAACGGAGTCATATCAAGAAGGTATTTGGATTGTAACCAAACTATAGTTTCAGACATGATTTTACGATCTACAAAATAAATATATTAATTAGTTTACTTCGATTTGTAAAAAAATACTTTTCAAAAACATTTCTGAGTGTTTCCAAACACCCCCTAAGTCACATAAGCATAAAAACATTTTCACAGGATCAATTTATTTCCATACATAGGACTTAACTATTGAAAGTTTTCTTCAAAATAGAATACTGGGAAAGATTAATCTCAACTTGCAACAAAGTATTTTTAACAAAAACCCACAAAAAAGGCTCACTGGAGGAAATAATCTTCAATCAACTGACAGAATTGCAATAGATTGTAGCCACCACTAGAGTGGCCGTCACAACAAACGGCTTCTTTGGGATGTTTAGACCAGAAAACAAACCATGGTTTTTATCTCCACTGGTGTAAAGACATTTTTAAAATAATTAAAAAAACACTTTTCGAAGAACTCAAACACATCTTTCATTGCCTCATTGAATATTTGATGGGACAAAATTCAAAGAACTCAAAACACCTCTTTCATTGCTTTATTGCATATTTAATGTGGGACAAATTCAAAGCACGGGAAAACCAGCTAGGTGGCAGAGTCCCTTTGATACGCATACGGAGATTATAACGATACCTGTAAACAAAATCTTACTACAGAAGCACAAAAGGTTCAAAAAATAATTCGAGTCTTGGATGGACAACGATCCAAGGCTTCTCAATATCACTGGCAACCACTAGAGCCTCAAGCAGAATTATAGCAGGATTTTGCACTTCTGAATATCAGCAAGTGCAAAATCACCAGGACCACATAATTAGAGATAAGCCAAAAGTCATCACATTCAATTTATATCCGTTAGTTGTACTAGTAATGACATTTTATTTCTCCCCTGGTGGTCTCAGTCAAAGCATCATCCACATTTAGCAACAACAAAAAACACAAAAACATACTTAAAAGGAAAAGGAAAGCTATAGGGCGCCAGGATTAAAACCTGGCAACAAAGGGAGCGCTAATAAAGGCATGAGGTTTAACAAGCATTAATGCGAATAAATTAAGCTACAACAGTCCAACAAGAATTACTTAAATCCCAGAATAATCAGTATCAGTACTCTAAGTATTACTGCGAAGTCTCTCTAAAAAGAAGGTTCACAAATAACAAACATAAACGGACAGTCATTTTCACTCAATAAAAAATCAGCTCAGCAACTTCCTACTCGCTTTACAGACCTTTTTACCTGCTGTGCCTTTCCAAATCACTTGTACAAGTTGTTCATTATTTGAGGCCATGCAACTCCAAGCTTGGGGGCTCATGCATGTGGTTGAAACAATTGCGGCTGCTGTGACTGCAATGGTACATGCTGCATTTGCTGTTGATAAAGCTGAGGCTGTGGCATTTGCTGCTGGAAAAGCTGTTGCTGCTGATATGACTGAGGGAAAACATGGGACTGTGGCAACTGATGCTGAAACATCTGCGGTGGAGGCATTTGCTGTGGTGGAAACTCCGGCTGTTCTGATTGCTGTGGTGGCGGCTGTGACTGCACTTGCAGTTGATGAAGCTGCTGTGCTGGCTGTGTATCATCACTTAACGGTGCATTAATGTCCAGGGTTGCCAGTATTTCTAAATCTTGGATTGCCGCAATTGCAGTGACTGGGCTTTCATGGTTGAAATGAGGCTTAATCACAGCAAGGGATTCCTTCACTTTGGATTGCTGCAAATTACAGAACAGAGGCATGAAAGATCACATCTTTGAAATTCATAAATAACTGCGTATTCAGACACTTGTTTCAACTTACAAAATATTCAAGTTTCCTCTTGAACTCTTCATTAGCAGCTTTTTGTGCAGCAGCATCAGGAGTTGTTCCCTACATCCACAAAAATAAGACGAGCGATTATCTAAATAAGGAAATTATTCAAATATCAATAGCAGAGAAAGTAGATCATGCAACAAGTGTAATATTTTCCATGCATATGCTAAAGATAAAACAGCCAGGTGAAGCGCAGCAGTCGAACCACCTATAACATATCAACATGTGCTGACTGTTGAAAAATAAAACAAAACACATAATATATTAAAAACATGATTCAATCATGCATTTATGGCTTTATCAAGCTGCCTTTACCTTCTGCGCAATCCCCAAAAAAATGCAAAATCAAATCATTCAGAAATCATAAATGTCAGTTTTCAATTTTCCTCATTGCAAAATAAAATAAATTTGTGCATTCAAAAGCCACATTATTCCCCCAAAAAAAAAAAATCTCCAGAAGATTCATATTTTATATCAAACCTTTACAAAGGAGGAAAAAAAGAAACATGAAGGTAAAAACAACCAAATCGTGGCTAGATTCCTGCATTAAAAATCATCTCAATTAAATATATATCACTGCAAAGAAATATCACAAGGATAACAAAAAATGAATAGCAAAAATAAATAAATAAATCAAATATTAAACATTAAATTAAATATTAGACAATCAAATGGAAAGGGAAAAATATTTTGCTTGGTGCTCTGTATAATCCAAAACAAATACACACAAATAACAATCACACAGAGTACAATTATATCAACCACTCAGAGATGTCAATGTCCACTTCTTTAAAATGAAAAATCCAATTATTTGTGAGCCAACAAATTTCATTTGTCCTAAAAAGCACTCTTGTGATTTGTACCTTAAATGAAAGGTTTTCAAGATATATCTATTTAATATTTGTCACTGCAAATAAATATTAAGAACACAGACAAACGAAATACAAATACCGATACACAATCATTTAACAATTAAATAAAACTAAAACATAAATATGTTCAGCTTCCACCAAATATATTCCAACCTTTTAAATATTAAAAATTAAAAACACACTTGTAAGAAACAGCTACATCTTTTTCCCATGAAAAGACAGTGTTTTATAAAATAATATGAAATAAGTATACACAAATGTTATATGATATTCCCTTTTTTCCAGAAGATATTAATGATAAATATCAGAATCTAAGTCGTACACTCTTCATCTAAGAAATATTTTTAGTGCTCATTTATCATTAATTAATTAATATTAACAGTAAGTTAAAGTTAAGACAAGATTATGCTCAGCTTCAGCCAAATATAATTCAACACTTAAATCATATGTATAGAACAGGCTCCACTATTTTAATGAAGTAAAACTGTAACAAATATTGACAAGTATTATTAAATGTTTCCTTTATGACCATAAGGATAATAATTAGCAGTAAATATGAGAATAAAGCACTACATTATCCATCTCCTCAAAAATATTTCTGGTGTGCTCCTATATTATTTATTTTATATATACATATATACATGTATACGCGCGTGTGTGTATAAAAGGTAAGCATTCATCCTATTTACATTTACAATTATATTATAAAACAAATAAGCGATAAGATTTTTTTTTCAAAAATAAAACATGGGATGCAATTAAATTTATGACAATAAAAACCTAACAGTGATATCCACTTTAAGTACTGCTACCATATTAATAAAAAATATCTCCATTTTTAAATCATTGAACTTTCCCTCCAAAACCATATAGTAGAAAAAGTCAAGGAGGTATGCAAATAAAAGATCAACTACTATTAAGCAAAAAAATTGCAAAAATGAAATATCTATTTAAAAAACCAATTCAATCTTAGTAAATCATCAAACTCAATACAATGCTTAGTCTGACGAAAAGAAAACAAGCTGAAAAGAAAAAATCACAGGAGTAAACAAAAATTAACACTTTCACACAAAATATTCTGATGCAAGCAAGCAAAGTGTCGGCGATTACCTTCCTAGGCCGACCAACAGGTCTTCCAGTAGAGGTGCGAAAGACACCACGCCCACGTCCTCTTCCACGGCCTCGACCACGGCCAATAGCTCCAGAAGCAACTCCGGGAGCCTGCACTCCATACTTCTTCGGACGACCTCTACGCCTAGGAGCAAGAATTGGTGCGGTAGCATCCGTCACAGCTCCTTCCTGAGCGGTGAGTGAAGTAGGCCCTTGGGGAGCAGCGGTCGGGGCGGCAAAGGGAATCATCGTGGGTTTAGACTGAATTTTGGGCGGCCTGCCAGGTCGACGCTTCATCCCATTGGAGATTGCCATCACAGATTTCGGCTTAGGAGGACGCCCAGGCCTCTTTGCCAACCTAGATCTCCCAGTACCCGGAGGACGGCCTCTCCTAGAAGCCGTTCCAGGTAAGCCAACCCCCTCTGCTACGGCACTCTTGGGAGGACGGCCTCGGCCTCGTTTCTTCACTTCTGTGGGCTCATCAGCAAGCCCTAGGGCAACCCAAACAGGCTCCGCATTCTGCAGATTTTGCGGCGCGTTGGGCATGGACTCCGGCTGCTGCTCTGGCTGAGCCGAACCCTGAACCTGAGGCTGACCCTGAGGCTGAGCCGGAGGTTGCGCCTGCGGCTGAGGCTTCAGCTTCGGCGGCCTGCCACGTCCTCTCTGCGCAGTAGACGGAGAACCGTCAGATCTAGGAAGTTTATAAGACTTTTTGACCATAACAAGGAGTCCATTGTTCTTTAAGCGCTGAAGGTGGTAGGTCAACAAAGCAGGGTGAGTCGGTGGAAGGTTAGGATAAGCGTGCTCTATGTATTTCGCAATAGCCCTCTTACTAGACCCATTTTTCTCCTTCAGCGCCTCAATTGCTGCATAAATCATCTAATAAAACCAAAAACATGAATTAAAGATGTTAAGAATCTTCCAGAGACGAAAAGAGACACGGCACTTTCTTCTCCGTGGTTCAATCTTACCTCAGAATAAGGAGGGTGGTTCGCAGTGGGAGCAGCAGGCTGGGTGGAAACGGCATCAGAAGAAGCGGCAGCCGGAGCCGAATTCGCGACGGGGGCGACGGCGGCAGCGGTGGTCGTTGTCGCGGTGGTGGAGGCAGGAACAGCACCATAGTTGACAGGGAAGAGAGAAATTGGAGCCGGAAAGGTAGACGGAGGAGCAGGAGGGATCGAGGAAGGGTCCATGGCTCCGGATGAGGAAAGATCGAAAGTAGATTCAAGAAAAATTGAAAATATGGTGGAGAGAAAAAGTTATTACAGTGAGAGAAAGAGAGAGTGAGAGAAGGGGGTAGAGAGAGAAAGAAGGGTTAGGTTTGGTGGTTTTAGGAAGAAAGGGGGGTATTGAAGAAAATAAAGCGGTGGTGGAATTTGGGGGTAGTGCAGTGAATTATGATTGATGATGATGATGAGGGGATTGAGGCCAATCTCACCGTTGATAATTGTTCCTTTGTTTCAGATACCTGACGTGGACTTCATCCGTCCTTTCTTATCCTTTTTCTCATTCTTTTTAACAATCATATTATAATCTCGAAATATGGACGCCATTAATTTCTTAATTCCCCTTTTATATTTCCGCAACCCCCCTCTTTTGTTTGCACCTTGGCCCCCGGCTTTCTCTTGCTTTTCTAGTTTGTTCCCTCATTTCAATGTTTATTCATTTTCTTTTTTCATCGCCCCTCCCGGAATTAATAATTAATTAATTTCTTCATGAAAGCAACTTGCCTTGGAAATAGATCAAGTGGAAGGGAGGAATTTATATTGCTTTTTTTTTTTACACTTGTTTCTTCGATAAGTTTATTAAATTGCCATTTTGATTTTATTTATAAATCTTTTTCAAGTTTCCGTATATTATATTGAAATAAAAAACCTCAAAATTTATTGCTTTTGTCTGTAGATTCAATAAGTTTTTAACTTTTATTACTATTGGGACCAAAATTTTCTTCTGCAGTTGACTTGTAACAAGAACTAAAGTGTTATGCCATTATTTAACCAGGGGTAAAAGGAAAATTAATGACATGTCTAATAATTACTACAAAAAAATATTTTCTCTCCCTTGCAAATAAAACCAAAATGGCATGTGTTTCAATTTATTAAACCCAGCATAAACTTTTTCATGACCAATCTTAAATCAGAATAAAAGCTGGGCTAAATTCTGGACATAAAATTCTGCTAAATCTTTGCAACATGTATCAAATATAAACAACATAAAAGATAATGATCAAAAAGTGGTCCTGATTGTATAATTTAAGTGATTGTTATTTAATTCAGTTAACACACAGTGTACTTAATTCAATGGCAATTGTTATGAAAAGGATCCCTTATCCGTTGTTCCTTCATGCCATATTAAGAGTGCTTTTAATTTACTGACAATGTCGATGTTAATATTATCTAAAATTCAACACAATATTTTTCTTCAAATTTTCTGTCCTAAACATGGATTAAGCAAATGCGACTTTGATTGGGTGCATTTCTAATTATCTGTAATTTCTCTAATTAGTTAATCTCACCCCATATATGTTTGCAAAACCACACTACAAAAATTTGAGAATAACATATGAAATAATAGTATAACTAATGAAGCCGGTGCTCCATTCAATTCAGGACTTGATCGGATGACAATTAGAGCATTTTTATGTAAATATATAAGAGAATTTTTATCTTAATTTACGTAAACATGTTTATAATAAGCAGCTTCAGACAAGCATTGATCTGTTTAAAGTGTCGCACATTGATTAAGAGATCATTAAATAATGTAAAGTATCACTCTTAGGAATCTAAACACAGTCGTTTGATACAAGGGTCTAAAGAGAATATAAGATGTAATTATAGGTAATTAAATAAAAATAAAATTGCTGAAAAATCTTTCACTGTAAAATTTATTTTTCAAAGGCATTTCACTCTAAAACTCAGGTATATACGGAATCTCTAAAGTTTACACACAACTAAAAATAGATTACATATAATAAAATAAGAGTTGAACCCACATAGAATCATATAAGCCTTGCAATAATGAAACAAATAAGTAATTGTATTTTGGCGGACTAATCCAGGCCATATATTTAAGTAGCAAGCATGCCCATGTATAGGCAGGCAAAGGTATTTTAAAAGAGGAAAAAAAAAAACAAATGCGCAATAGTTGAGGGGAATAATTTTTAAGTGTCGATTGTGAATTTATGACTTGCACAAGACATTAACTTGAAAGCATAAGCATGCTTTAAAATTCATGAACTTATGACTTAAATAAAATCATTTTTTATATAAAAAAAAACAAATTAAAAGCCATAACAACGAATTACTTACTATATGTGCTGTGATAAAATATTTGCTTTTCCTGGATTAGTTGAAAGCTATTTTATGCTTAGCCAATGCTAAATCGCTAGACTGCCTCACACGTTGTTATATGGATTTGACCAGCCTTTAAAAACTTATAAACCAGAATGAGAGGACTGAAAGTGTAATTTTCACTAAAGTCCCATATAAATTTTCGTGCACTGCACAGTCCCTCACGTAAATTTTATTCTTATCAATGCATGGTGAATAATACGGCTTTGAGTAAAATGTTCCTTTTTTTTTTATCTGGAGTAAAATGTTCCCGGCTGATGCCATAATATTTGTATGATGTGTTGATGATAATTGGTAGATGCTGGATATTGGTAATATTGAATTTTCTAGAATTTCAAGGAATCTTGAAAACAGCCCAGCAAATATTTTCATGCTTCCATGACGTTAAAAATAGTAATTCATTGGGAACAAATAATTTTACACCTATGGTAGTTCAACATTTGCCATTCACCAAGATACCAAAAAACTATACTCTCTCCGTTTTTTATTATAAAATCTAATTTTTTGAATTGGTTTATCTCTTTTTATAATATTCTTTTTAAATTTGTCTGAACATTTAATGCATTATTATCTATTTAATTCCTAATTTAATGCATTTAATACATTCTCTTTCTTCATTTATCTCATTATTACTCTCTCACATCTATCTATTTATATATAGGGGTATATTTGAAAAAAAAATTATGTTTGTTATATATTAACTGCTTTTAACTAATTTTAACTGTTTTCTTAAACCACGTAATTTAGTTAAAATGATCTTATAATAAGAAACGGAGTAGTACGTTGTTGATTAAATAAAGTCTGATTGAAAGCAACGAGTGTTGGGTCTAATGAAAGGGGTTAGTTCTCCACAACGTGATGAACTGATATTCGAATTCTCGTTAAAAGGGGTGTCTCTATTTAGTATCTGATAATGCCTCAAACGGGATTACTTTTAATAAGAGAATAACTATACCTACCAAAAGGGGGAGGAAAAATAAAGCATAGTTGAAATGAGATGAATGAAGTAACATATACTTTTATTGAAATGCACACAAAAAATCATATATAATCATAAAAAAGTAAAACCTGAATAAAAATATTAAGTATAGAGTAAATAGAATATCTCTACAAAAATTACATACCGTAACAAAATAAAGTTATTAGAGTATAAATTTGACGGCTTTATTCTTATAAGGCATAATATATATTAAATATGAATAAAATTACAAAATTAATACTTAAAGCAGAGTTAATAAAATTAGGGGGGGGACAAAATTAGACGTAGTTAACCCTGTCAAAAATCATCCACTGGCAAGTGGCAAGAGATTGGTTCATGACTAGCTGATTTGAATTGCACTTTTTTGTTCTTGCCAAGGCCCTTTAATCTCATGACATTAATGGAATGGGAGCGTGCTATTGATGAGTTATATTGAGAAATGTGTCCAGGATCATTAATTTGGCCGCTGCACAGCAATTGGAGAGGATTACGTGAATAACTTCTGTTGTGTCAATTCCAACACAGAGGCTTGGTTTGGCTCTCACATTTTGTTTTGAACCATTTGAATTTTAAAAGGCAAAATTAGGGAGGGAGGAGTAGGAATTTGGGGGAAATTCAAAAATTAAGAAAAGGGGAAGCAAAATGAAAAATTGTCCCGCCACAATTTCAAAAGGGAGGGAAAGCCAAGAAACCCGACTGAACTCGCTGCTGTGCTGCGTTCCCAAGTAGTTACTGATCTCGTCTGAGAGCCGTACGACTCCCCATGGTGGTCCCCCTCGCCCAGCCATTTCATTCCAAAGCAATTGCTTTTATCCTAGACCTTCAATTTCAACTTATATTTAAAATGGAAAGTAAAATTATATAAACAATGCCAAGCGTATAATTTATTTTTAAATATAACATCTTAATTAATTTTATTACTCATATTTACTACTTTTTAGAATTAATTTGTATAAGTTACAAAGAAGCATATAGGATCCGTTTGGATCAGCGATTGGAAAAGTAGCTTATTGAAAAAGTAGCTTATAGAGAAGTGAAATTAAATAAAAGCTAAATTGGATAAGCTGAATTGTGTTTGGATTAGAGTTCAGAAAAGCTAGATTGCAAAAGTGAGATTGGTAAAATGTTGTTTGGATTATGATTGAGTAAAAGTAAGTTTGGTTGTAAAATGACCAAAATAGATATGAGTTTTAATAAATAATGAAATATTATTAAAAAAATAATTTCACATAGTACAATGAAATTAAAATAATTTAATATGAAGAAGTCATAAAAAATATTTTAAATATAAAGTGAAACATGAAAAAATAAAAGTATATTTTTAGGAGCATATTTAAAAATAAAAATATATTTCTAACTTATTCATTACTTTTAACTAATTTTAACTGATTTTTTATTATTTACAAATTAGTTATTTGAGGTTTATAATAAGAACCAAAAGAGGTAATAAATTTCTTAACTTTTTCTCTCTCCATATTTCAAAAGCCATAAGCCATAAGCTATAAGTCATAAGCTGTTAATTTTAACTTATAGCTTATTGTAGTTTTTCAGACAAAAGCCCGATTGCAGAAAAGCTGATCCAAACAGACCCAATTGTGTCAATCGAGCTTATAGAGCTTATAGAGCTTATAAGCTGCTTATAAGCTCAAAATAAGTGATGCCAAGCAGGCACATAATCTAATGTTGTACTTCACTGTTTGGTTTTTATTATAAGAACTTATTTGATTTTTATTTTGATCTTAAATATAATACATCAATTTACTTTGTCTATTATATTTATTCATTTTTTCAAGATATTTCTTATAATAATAGTAGTTATAAATAATACACTTGATTAGTAAGGATATTTTAGGAAAGACATCAACTATTTAGTAAATAACTAGCTTAACTAATTTTCCTAATCCACTCAAATTAGTCAATTAGCTCTTATATTAAAAATTAGAAGTAATATAATAGCTACCTATCAAATTTTGATAAATTAAAAAATGTAATTGGTTTATGTTT